TATTTAAAGGCAGATGAATGAGAGATAAGAAGTAAATACTGGCAAAAACAATAAAGCAAAGACTTTGACATTGAGAAAGCTTTAAAAACCTATGTATTAGAAATTTCATGTGATGCAATTGCATGCAAGTAATCTATATATTTTACGCCAAAAAAAAAATATCAAAGAATGGGAATTGATTAAAGCTTTGTCTAAACAAGGATTCCCTATTATAATACATATAATATTATAACATTAAACACAAATTGGCATACTATAGCTATTTGATCTCATTTATACCCTTTCATTCTACATATACATATAACTTGTTCCTAATAATTTGTGATTTTTTTGATGAAAATTTTAATCAAAATTCTACTCCCAGTGGTTGTGCGGACAATAAATTTCTTCCAAAAAATGACTTGAATGAGCACAACTACATATTAAATAAAACCCTTTGCCCTAAAACACCATTATTTAAAATAATATCATTATATATCATATCTCTGACATTTAAATGATTAAAAATAATAGCATGACTCCACTCTCTTATCAAGCTACAACTCTAAAAAATTAAATGGAGCTAAATTATTATAAGATATGAGTAACTTTTCAAAATGAACATATTTTCCTTGATTTTATGCAAAGACAAATTGTTCAGATTTATAATTCAAATCTACGTGTACACATTGTCATGTCTCCTCCTTTTAAATGTTTTAAATTTGCATGCATGCTTGAAGTGTCTATTTTGAAATAATGCAATATGGTGTGCATTGTATGTCATAACTTTTAAAGCAATGAAAACAATAAATGATTCTTAGCACCTAAGTACATTCTTAGCAAAATAATCGTTAATAATTAAAATATTATTCATTTAACTTTGCTGTGTCATTAGTGAGTTAGTTGATTTTGATGCTACTTGTGCGGTGAGTAGAGATAATTGTAATTATTTAACATTCTTTCAGATCCAGAAAGCATGTATTACATTATGTAATATTTTCTAAATTTTGACATGGAGACCCTTTCCAACTAAACATTAATTCCGACCATTGTCAATTTATACTGACATTCATATAGTTACTAAATATATAAATATATCATGTTAATCAAAATATTGTGAAAACGTATCATCCAATATAAGTTTTAATGCAAACTATAGAAAATATTTCAGTGAAATAATAGTAACTTGTGAATGTGAATTTTAGATATTGAAGAGCCGTACAATTTTTAAATGCAATATCCATTACCTACTGACTTTTTGACGGCATCATTAAAACCTATCCCGTTATGATAATAGTAAATTTTCAGAAATAATTGCCAGGGTCACTTTTTTCATAAATTAATACATTTATTTCAGAAAGGAAACCTTTGACTAGTGGACACAAGATATTCAGTTTTCCATTTTCTAAATTTTTCTATAACTGGCCTACTCCATCACCATGGTAAGAGTAAACAATGTTTCCGAGACAGTAAACACGTTTGACTGTTCAGCAACTTAATTTACAATTCTTATTTTCAAACTTCCATAACTGTAAAAATGTCTAATTGTTAACTTTGTAATTCATGATACATATATAAATATATCAGCATTAATTAATATCAAATAAATAATTTCTTAAAAAGATGTCAAGAAAGAGATCAACAAAAAATCACATTCACTGTCAAAAGATCAATGTTGATCACAATAAAAATTAATAAAAAGTGTATTAAACCAATGACATACTGCTAGTCATGTAGCCAAGAACATTGTATTAAAGTGTATTAAACCAATGACATACTGCTAGTCATGTAGCCAAGAACATTGTATACATAAAATATAATATGATCCCAATAATATCAACATGACTGCATTAAGCATTGCAAGACTAAACTTAATTATACCCTTCAAAATGGCATTGAAAACTGAAAACTAATGCTGAAATGAAAAATAAGATATACATAACACACACTGTATCTCTGACAGGCAATAATACACATAGAAATACTATACCTATATATAATGCACTAAAGCTTTTAGTCTTTTTAATGAAACTGAAGTGGATCATAGAAAACCCATCACTTTGTGATCAGTGGCTATTACTGTCCTCCCAGAGGACAGGCCTGTATCAAAATATCACGTGTTTATTAGATGTCATAGTTTGATTGGTGCCCAGGGTAAAACTAGGCAGCTTTAAGAAAGACGCATGTAAGCCAAACTAAAACTAGATAATTATATGAATATACCTTGTCTGTCAATTGACAGGATATATACATGTACTCTGTCAGTTGACAAGAAAGATATTCTGACTTTGAAACACACATGAAGCTGACTGTGACAGTGATGTGGGTGATTCTAGGAGGAGAGAGGGAAGACTTTGGAGGAGAATTTGATTTTCTGGGCGTAGTCGGTGGGGGCGAGGCTGTACCCCTTGGTGTTCATGATGGCCTCTAAGTCTCGATCTTCTCGCTCTCTGAAAACAGAAGAGAGAGAACGTAATTAAGATTTATCAATACATTTAAGTATACAAACATGCCATATTTCTCTAATTTTGTAGAGATCACCATTATTTACGTGTGTTTGTTCAGGATTTTTTACATACAAGTATAAAAAAAACAATAGCAATGATCAAATAAAATCATAGTAATTGAGTTAAGAATGATAAAACATGCATTTTGTTTTTAATTTAATATCACTTTACAGCAATTCATAAATAGCATGGACAACATAATAAATCATGTACAAGTTACATGTATTTTTTTTTTATAGTTAAGATGCATTCATTTGATATTGAAAGAAATATTTAGATTGTGTTTTTTTACTTGTTTTTTTTTATAATTGTAATATTTCTGTGAAACAAATTAAAATTAATGTGATATTTGTAAGTGATATTGAAAGTCCTTTGCCAAATTTTCCTGTTACACTAGAATTATAATTATCTTTGAAAAATCACTTTAAAAACAAAAAAAGCAAACTTAGCAAATTAAATAATGAAATCACACAGTATTCATATAGTTAATTTTAGGAAAGCTCTAAGAAATTCACCCCTCTATATACTTGTATATATATACATGTCATAGTAAAATCTACTTATCAAATTTAAAATCAAATACTAAAATTGTTTGAAATTCATTTAAAATGATTTTAGTATCGTAAAAGTTATAAATTCGTGTACTTGATTAGTTATCAGTTTTGTTTGTTTTGTTGTTTGTGTTTCATAAGTAATGATTATGAACAAGACAGATTTCAAAATTTATTTTCCTCCGGATTCTAACACTTGTGCTACCTTGAATTGTGTTCTTTAAGAAATTTTACAATTTTAAACATTACGAATTTCAATTTCTGGAAGCATAACAACAAGAAACCTCTTTGCCATTTTTAATTTCACAATGAATAAAAGAATATCTTTTATGAACAGAGACTGAAATATATATTTAGAAAATATATGAATTCAAATTTATTGTGAAGCCTTGAAAAATCCGACACCTTTGTCATGCATATATGACAGTGTAAGTACTATTTTATCCAAATAAGTGAACAAAAAGAGAAAAGTGGATTTCCCTGATTCACACCAAACATATCTTGAAATGTTTTGATAAAGACAAAGGCAACAAATAAATTTAAAATTCTTGTGTTCATGTCTCAAAAATAACCGTCAAAAACGAGGGTTGCTTTTTAATTACAAATATTTCTCAAATTTTGTAAAACAAATAAAAAAAATCTCAAAACATTTGTACACAAATTGCACCTACCAAAAGTAACACCTCACTCTAAATTTTCTTTCCTACTCTTTCATAAGACAAATTTATTGGGGAAACATGAGTTTAAAGAATATTTTTAAAGTTTAAAATATATAATTAACATGATTAACAATAAATTATCTTTATTTTAAAAGAAGAATGAAATGAAAGAAAACTACTTTGCAAACATAGCGCTCTATCAAAAAAAGATTTTAGCCAAATATGTGTGCAAGAGTCTCCACTAAGCCACACAACATTTCATCACAGAATGATATACCATGTCTAGAGCTAGTTCTGAGAAGTTCTGACAAGTTCTTCAGTTTGCCACTATTTGTCAATGTACCTAAATCACATGACACAGAGTTAAAAATCTACATTCTGACTCAAGTTCAATGTCCAAAACCACACAGTCACCTATTTATATAGGTAAAACTTTAAAGAGAGCAGGTGAGGAAAATGATTCTTAATTGACTTACCAATGTCAATGACATATAAATTTAAATAACACAAAGTTATAAATCTACATTTTAACTCAAGTTTAATAAAGGACACACTTGACCATGAACTCAGACTCGTATCTCACTAGAGCATTCTTCTCGTACACCAGAGTGAACCATTCCTGCATTAGTTAGCATTCCTCCTTAAAACTTTTATCATAATCCTTGCTATCTTAAGATTTTTTTTATTATTGAAATAAATTTCAATACATTTATTATAATAACAAAAGATAAATAATTATAGGTTATGAAAAAGAAATTCAGCTTGTTAAATGTTACACACACAACTTCATAGCTGAAATTTGATCTGTGCCATATTTTAACAGAGATAAAAATTAACTATAAACAGGTATGTGTATTTAAATCACGTGACGAAGAAGAAACATCAAGACAGATACATGAAACTAAACTAGGAAGTGATATTGTTTTCCAGGAGCCATGTTAGATGTACAGGTACGACATGATAAATAAAACTTTTTTTACCTTCTTATTAAATACTAAGTACTAAAGTACCAATCGTATATATATATATATGTATTCCCTTCATTCAATTGAAAAAAATATTTTTTCAAAGAATTGTTTGTATCAGTTAGTATTATTTCAGTAAGTTTTTTTATAAGTGCCATTGTATTAAACTGTCTCTTTTACTACTCAATATTTACTACAGTGCCGCCTGGTCAGTTAACCAAGCATCATTAATGGACCCCCTGGACAGAGCTCAAGTACTCCTCCTATGTGACCTTTGTCAAAGAACTGCACTACAGAGTCATTGTGTCAGATTAACCTGTGTGAGGTTTGTGTAGGGGAGCATCTTTCTGATTCATCCAAAAGACATAAGGTTGTACCATACAAACACAGAAAATCTGCTACTTATAACTATCCAAAATGTCCAAACCATACTCAGAACTACTGTGAACTTTTCTGTGAGCAATGTGACATTCCTGTCTGTTTTACCTGTACCTCTACAGGTAATCATAAAGGACATCATTTATTACTTGTTTTACAAAAAATCAGTGCCAAAACAAAAGACATGGAAATAAAATTAAAAGAACTTGAGACTAGAATTTTCCCAAGATATGAAAAAATTGCATCAGGCTTAAAAACAAAGAAGGAAAGCTTGGAAACACACTACAGTCAATTAATAACAGCCGTCACTAAACAAGGAGAAGACTTGCACAGAGAAATTAACATCATTGTCAACAAATTGAAATCTGAAATTGATGACATGAAAACTATCAGCCTGGCTTCCCTAAATGAAAAGGAAAACGAAATCAAAAACATTGCTGCAGAAGTGAATCAGTGCATACTTGATCTGAAGAAAATACTGGACTCAAATGATATTTCCTTAGACTCTGAATACAAATCAAGGATTGAGAAATTCAGATGTCTACCACCAGACCTCAAAGTATCATTACCAAATTTTTCTCCTCATCAGATTAACAAAGAACAGTTCCATCACATGTTTGGTTCTCTTTCAGCATTATCCATTTCAACAGAAGAATGCTTTTACAAAATAAAACCACTGATTGATGAACCAGAGCTTATCGCCACCATCGAGACTGGGTACAAACCACTGTACAGTGTTACCCGTCTCAGTGATGAAGAAATCTGGACATTCGGAAATGACAAAATCATGAAACTCTACAACCTCAAGGGTAAACGACTGAAGTCAATCAAAACCAAGTCAGGGAACATACCATGTGACATATCAGTGACAAGGAGTGGAGATCTCGTTTATACTGACCCTGATACAAGAACTGTAAATATTGTGAAGAATAAACAGATACATGAAGTGATCACATTACAGGGGTGGATACCTTGCTTTGTCTGTACTACCTCCTCTGGTGACCTCCTGGTTACCATGGTCAATGATGATAATAAACAATCAAAAGTTGTCCGTAACTCCGGCTCTTCAGAGAAACAAACCATTCAGTATGACAGTGAAGGTAAACCTCTGTATTCATCTAATTACCTTAAATACATCGGTGAGAACAGGAACCTGGATATCTGTGTGGCTGACAATGAAGCCCGTGCTGTAGTGGTGGTTAATCAGGCAGGAAATCTTCGATTCAGATACACTGGTCATCCCTCTACTACCAAGACATCATTTATTCCATTCAGCATTACAACAGACAGCCAAAGTCAGATTCTGACAGCAGACTATTATAACCACTGTATCCACATCATAGACCAGGATGGACAGTTCCTCCGTTACATTGATAATTGTGATCTGCGGCTTCCACTTGGTTTATGTGTAGACACCAGAGACAACATCTTTGTGGCTGAGTATTTCAGTGGTAAAGTGAAAAAAATCAAATACATGTAAACGCTGCATTATTTCAAGAAATGGCCGTGAATTAGATTAAGTTACGCACTGAGAGTTAAAAGTCGTCTGACTTAGGACTAATAAAATCCAATTAGAAGTTGGACATCCACCATATAATTTGCTGTTGATTTTAGGAAAAAACAAATTTACTATCAAATGTATTTAAGGAATGACTCTAATTCTTGGCAAAATCATCGAGTATAATCTGGGTTGGGTTATTATACTCTTTATAGTCCGCGGAACACATTATAAACAAGAGGCACATCGTTAACCTGAGCAATGTAGCTTGGAAAAAAGCAGATATCAGTTGATTATTGTAAAGCTTAACGAGGCCCGATCTAGTTGAAAATTACGAAAACGGAATGATAAAAAAATTTGATTTTTGGAAATATACTTGAATGTTTTATGTTCAGAAAAATTAGAATGAAATTTTGTTACCTTGCCTTTATTGTAGTGAAATGGGGACACTGTCAAAATATGGACCATTTTTCGTGTTTTTATACACAATTACATACTAAAACTCTTCAATAAACAAAGAAATTTACAAATTAAAAAAAAATACAGGATGAATTTTTTTGTTTTTCACATATATCATGCAATTTTCATTCTTCTTATAAAAAATGAAAAGAAAATTGAAGGTAGCCTTTATTGCAGTGAAAAGGGGGCTTGTCAAAACACAAAATTTGGATTTATTCTATCCAACTACGTATTTTATAGGTCGCAATGGGTTTGCATAACGCCAACAAACGATTGCAATACTGTATTAGTTTCTAAAAAATAATTTATTCTTACATTATATAATTTTCTCGCCATGCATTATTTTTCTCTTAACACGCGATGTTGTTTAACGTGGAAAAAAAAGGGGTAGAGGGAGGGGGTGGGGTGGGTAAAGGCGACAAAATTGCGATTTTTACTAATATCATGTAATATATAGAAAAATAAAATATTTCGGGCTTTCAATTTAAATGATGAATAGACTTATTCTATTTTTTAAAACTGAAGATAATCCATGCATATTTAAGTCCGCGATAAAAAGAGTGTGTATAAACACTTCAACATGTTCGAAGAGAATGACTAAAATCGTTTACTTTAAGTTGCAGTTTTTGTTTTTTTAAATCATAAATTGAAATAAAACAGGATAAAATTAATGAATCTGTACCAAAAAATTGATCCCTCAAGTTCATTAGGTTTCAAAGTTATTTATTAATTTAAATATTTTAAAAAAGTAATAGAAATTCCAGCTTTCAATGCATAGTCTATAGCGCTACCAGGTAAGCAAGATCAGCGAAACATTTTAGCGCAATTTGACGTCATTTTAATTGTGACCTTATTGTGTTCAATTGTGACGGCAGTCAAGGGTATTTTGACGTGTCTGAGTCGAAACTGCGTTAAAACGTATTCGCAGATCAAGTAGATTGGGCCTCGTTAAATCCAAAAGTGGTCTCAACCAATCCTTAAAGAGGCAAGGGTAAGATGTAAACAAACTTGAATCTACACTAACTAAGGATGCTTGCATATTTCTTTGACTACCTGTGGCTATGTTGCCCTTTACACTTGAAAACTTACATTGTGACCCCACCTACCCCCGGGGTCATGAGAATGAGAATGCTTCCATATGCATTTGACTAATCATAGCTTTTTCATTCTTGAAAAGAAGATTTTTAAAGATTTTTTTCTATTGTAAAACTTGGATTCCATGTTGTGACCCCGCCCTTCCCCCAGGGGTCATGATTTGAACGAACTTGAATCATCACTGGACTGATGCTCAGCTCTGTGTGAGCCACGTCTTACGCAAGCTGGTTATTCTTAGCTATGCCTAAACCCCCGTTCTTACATAGACGCCGCTTCTTCTACGATCAAAGCTTGGTGGAAAGCGTGGCCGATCGTAACAAATCGCAGGAGAAACGTCGTGGAGTCGTCATAAGCGTAGTATGATCGCAGTAGGATCTTCATGATCGGAGAGCTCTACGCTCTCACCACATGTTCAAAACAAGCGTAGCGGGATCGTGGCCAACATGAATCAGGGTTAAGAGCGTAGTAGAAACGCCGTAATCGTATAAGCAGCGCGAAAGCATCGTAGAGAGAACTTCGTGATTGTAGGAAATTAACAAGTACGCTCATACAACGCTCCCTCTACCTTTGTACTACGTTCTCACTACGATCTCTCTACGTTCCTGGAGATCCTACGAAGACCTACAATAACCATACGCCGATCATATCACAACCTATCTGGTAGAAGTTTGTTCTTATAGCGTTGATATTTGACCAATCATCATCTGTAAACAACATGTAAAGGGTGACACTATACTTGATGATCATTTGCAATTGAGACTTTACATCTTGGTACAATTATAATTGAAAATGCCGGTAAACAATGTGGTAAAGGCCGCAAAAAATCTGCGGTCTCATTGTTACAACCGTACTACAAATCTGCGGATGCAAGATTTATTTCCATCATCGCCAAAATCGTCCTAGAAGCGTAATGCATTCATAATATGATCGGCACCACCGCAGCGACATCGCGGTACAGTTATCTAGGTCTGTGTAGCGTCGTAATATCGTCTTCGATATCGTGGTGGCAGCGTAGCGTAAACGCAATAAACACGGCCGCTTGTTGGCAACAGTGCGCAGCACAGTTAAGGTTACAAAAAGTAGGCGGAGCCTAATTTGTACGGGAAAACTTGACTATGACATCATACACAATATACGTCATACAACATTTCTTTAAAATACCACAAAATGAGTTTATCTGCTAATTTAACCAGTAAGAAATCATCAAACTACATAAAAACTTACTACAGCGTGTTATTTTGTCGTTAGTTAAATCCCACATAACAAGTTATAACCAAGTCACTGATTGCAATACACTTGTCAATATGACGTCATTTCTTACAACGTGACGTAGTATGTATGCAGTGAGAGACAGATCAAGTAATATTTTCACAACAAAATATGTATTCTCTAACTAAATAAAATATTATTTCAGATATTCTATGGGTCAATAACTTGAATTCAATGTCTTCTTCACTATTGTGTTAATATATCTTCTGAACATTGCGTATTTAATTGACACTGCCGTATATTTGTATGCAAGTACATTAGAGGGTACTGTGGGGGTGTTAATAAATCGATCTAGTGCAAGGGCATACACTCTATGGATCAAAGTAAGCTTTTACATTTCAACTATAGAACTATTAAGGTATCTGAAAAGTGCTGCGATCCTGAGGAAATCTTAAAAACAATTTAATTATATCAATATAGCATGCCGCTGACCAGCAAAAAATAAAGCTTTCGGTCATACATGCATAATTTTTACAATGAAATTTCAGAATTTAGACAGGATCGCAGCACTTTTTAGAAATTACAATGCGTGTTGAAAATATTTATATACTTAACTTAGAAACTTAACTTGGTTATGCCCTTGCGCTAGTGATATTTATATGTAACATCAATACTTCAAGTCAATGTGCTAAAATCGCGTGACTGCCGCATCACGTGACTAGTCTAAATATAAAATATAATCGTCCTCGATATGTAGTTATTAACCATAATTACAATTATCCGATATAAATAATGTACTTAAAATAATCGCCATCCCGATTACGAATACATTTTTAAATACAAAATTTGGTCGATATTTCCATTGCGCACCTTAACTGTACTGCGTGTGCCTAAAATCGTAGTATAAGCGTGTTAGCAACGCGTTTGACGTAGAGACATCGTAGCACGGTCCTTAAGGTCAAGATCTAGTAAATAACTTGAGACTATTTTTTGGTGCTAGATCCATTATGACGTCATAATCAGTTTCAACTTTCTTTTTACGGCTTTAGCAGAATTATGTAGAAAATAGGGTATTTTCATGTCATTCAATTTGAAATCATATGAAAAGTAAACCGGATACCTATATTAAATTTGATATTGGTTTAAAAAAGATGCCATGGACATACTTATTACTGTTTTTTGAGAGACTGTAGGCAATCTGGATACATTTCCTTTGCCGAATACGAAAAAAAACTCCCATATTAATTACTGATTTTCTTAATTTTTCATTGAAAATGACAGTTTAAAGTACAGTTTTTCATCTTGTTTACCTACAAATTATGCCCCCAAACACCTTATTTGACCAAGCTAAAGTTGTAAAGCATTAATAAAGGTATTTCCTTATCAAGTTTGATAAATCTGTCGGCACCTTTCATTTACTAGATCGTGACCTTAAGAAGACCATAATTTGCCAAATTGCTCTATTTAGACGCCGATCAACTGCGATCTGATCCAATACTCTTTTTTTTGGCTTGATCGGTATGATCGCTGTAGAATCGCAGCTCTGTGTGAACGGGGGGTAACGAGGACAAGGAGTTAAACTCTCTGAAATTATCATGATCCAATTAAAAATCTTATAAGATAATGATAAAATCTAAATATGCTCATATGAATTGAATTTGAAATAAATATATATATATATATATATATATATATATATATATATATATATATATATATATATATATATATATATATATATATATATATATATATATATATATATATATATATATATATATATATATATAAGAGATTAATTTGTATTAGATCAATAACATTGCAAGTACTTCAAATTTCTTGTCTACTGTAACTTGTGCTTGAAAAATCTACAGAGACAACTGAGTATTCAAAGGTCAAGCTTTTTGTTAATCAAAAGTCATTTGATTGATAATAGGACACCTCACAAAATAACCGCTTGTAAAAATTCTGCAAAATATTAAATATTTCCCTGTTTTCAGTTTAAATGGATGCAAGCTAGCTAGATTAAAGGTCACATTCATGATTACCACAAAAAAAAAACAACATATCAAATTAAAAAAAAAGTTTTTAATGAATAAGTGCCACAAACAAATATTCACATCCTGAAATCTGACCTGTCCCACAATGTGAGAGAGATTATATTTCTTATGATAGAGAAGTACAGGTATTTAAATCGTACTGACTAAAAACAGGTCTAAACCACAGTTGGTCTCTGAATATGATGACTGTTGGTTATCTTACGTTTACATATTATATAAAAACTAGGGAGTAATGTTGTCGTTCAGGAGCGATGATGTTAGATTTAAAGG